ATATATAAAATATATTATATATATATATATATATATGAGGTCAAGAACATGGTGTCATTTAGAAATTATATGACAAATTAAGTTGATATCCTTTGTTTCTTGAGTCCTGTTTACTTTGTCATATCTCCTTACATTTTGGACTTAACTTCCACATATCAGGGAGACCATGCTAGCACAATAATTTTTAACTCTGCCACTGGCATCTGACAAAAGTAAAAAATTTTTTTTTTTTTTTTTTTTTTTGGGTCCGGTCGTGGGGCCTGAACTCTGGGCCTGGGCACTGTCCCTCAGCTCTTCAGCTCAAGGCTAGCGCTCAACCCCCTTGAGCCACAGCGCCACTTCCGGCTTTTTTCTTTTTTGCTTATGTGGTGCTGAGGATCGAACCCAGGGCCTCATGCATGCAAGGCAAGTGCTCTACCACTGAGCCACCTTCCCAGCCCCCCAAAAGTAAAAATTTTTAATTATTAAGAATTATAATGGCAGCCAGTAGCTCACACCAGTAGCTCACACCTATAAACCTAGCTACTCAAGAGGCTGAGATCTGAGGATCACAGTTCAAAGCCAGCCTGGGCAGAAAAGTCCGTGAGACTCATCTCCAATAAACCACTCAGAAAACCAGAAGTGGTGCTGTGGCTCAAGTGGTAGAGCTCTAGCCTTGAGCACAAGAGCTAAGGGACAGCGCCCAGGCCCAGAGTTCAAGCTCCATGACTGACCAAAAAAAAAAAAAAAGAATTATAATGGCAGCCTGGTGCTACTCAGGAGGCTGAGACCTGATGGCGGTCAGAGAGCTAACCTTGAGCAAAAAAAGGTTAGGGACAGCACCCAAGCCTTGAGTTCAAACCCTATGGCTGGCACACACAGTCACATATGCACAGACACACAGATATGTATACAATTATACATATATATGTATATATATATATAATTAATGGTTACTTAGAATCTAATTAACCATCTATCTTGCCATACTGATTACCCACAAGTTATTTTTTTGTTTGTTTGTTTTGGTCTGGTTGTGGGGCCTGAACTCTGGGCCTGGGCGCTGTCCCTCAGCTCTTCAGCTCAAGGCTAGCGCTCTATCACTTGAGCCACAGCACCACTTCCGGCTTTTTCCTTTTTGCTTATGTGGTGCTGAGGAATCAAACCCAGGGCCTCATGCATGCAAGGCAAGCGCTCTACCACTGAGCCACCTTCCCAGCCCCCACAAGTTATTTTTTAAATCCTAAATTATGGTCAGTACTATAATCGAAAGAGTATTTTTCACTCAGTATATTTTTATTGTGCATTAACTTCTAATTCATGAAACATCAAAATAACACTTCCATATGACTTTATAAGTAGGCATATGCAATCAAGTTCCTACCTGGTTGCCATGTGATTTTAAAAGAAATTCATAAGCATATGAAAACTGAAATTGTACTTTTATGTTGCCACATAACTTTTTGTGCTTCATAGTTGTAGAGAGAATAATTTTTTAAAATTAAGGCTTACTGGATGGCTACTGTATATTGTACATTTTATCCAAATCCATAAGGGGGAATAACTTTTAAAGTTGCTTTTATCCAGAGATAGAGATGTAATTCAGTGGTCGAATACTAGCCTAGCATGCACAGGCCTGGGTTCAATCCCCAGTGTTGCGAGGAAAGAAAAATATCATTCATCAGTAAGTTTACTGGTTAAGAAAATGAACCACATATATGTGGAAACATAGTACAGGTAATTCAAAATCAAATTACTTTCTGTGTGTAAGTGGCACATACCATAACCCCAGCTATTCAGATGGTGGAGATCAGGAAAATCAAAGTTCAAGACAATCCAGGAAAAAGTTAGCAAGATTCCATCTCAACAAACAAGCCAAGTATAGTAGTACATTCCAGCTACTTGGGAGGTATAGGCAGAAGGATCAAGTCTGAGTTTGGCCCAGCCAAAAAGTATGAAATGATGCCTGAAGAATAAAGCAAAAATGAGCTTGGGAATGGCATAAATGGTAAAACCTTGCATAACAAGCATAGGCCTTGAGTTCAAACCCTAGTACCACAAAAAAAAAAAAAAGATCAAATTATCATCTGAAACAAGTAATTTGTTTTCAATTGGATAAATCAGCAGCTTTGAAGTAAAAAAAAATGATCGAAATAAAGTAGAATTATTAAGGTACCACAAATATAGTTATTGATAGTATGACAGCAAATTTGTTGAAATTTACTTTGACGAGTGATTAAACTTTTCCTTTTTGTAACTTCCTAGCTCCCAGCCTGGCTTTGTCTTTAAAGTTAGCCTTGTTACTCATTCTCGACATTTCCAAGCATAGTACGAAGTAAGAGTCATTATGAATTCTTAAATTATTTCAGAGAAAGATAGGTTGGAAGGTCACAGTTTTTATTACTAGACTTAATCTGAGTTCAATGTAGTAGATTTTTTTTAAAAAAATAAGGAATCTTTTGATTGTTGATCGTGTGTAATTTCTCATCCAATGAATAATGGAAATAAACTTTTATGACATGAAAAGTTATCCCTTCTAAAACTTTTCTTGTCCAACCATTCCTGAGACCTCTGAAGAGTTAATGATCCCTATCTCTGTTCCCTGGTCTACTCTTCTCTGAGTACTCATTCATGTAGCTTCCACAACTATATTGTGATATGAATTATATCATATATACATATCATGTATAGTGATAAAGAGAAAAGGCTATCTTTCCAGAGACACATTTGATGAGGTTTGTTTTTTGTTTTCAGAAACTTCAAGGATAAACTAAAGCATAATTTTCTCCAGGTACCCATCCCCAAATTCAACTTCTATTATTTTTTTTTTTCTTCTTCTTTTTGGGTCAGTTGTGGGGCCTGAACTCTGGGCGTGGGTGCTGTCCCTTAGCTCTTCAGTTCAACTAGCACTCTACCACTTGAGCCATAGCATCACTTCCAGCTTTTTCTGCTTATGTGGTGCTTAGGAATTGAACCCAGGGCCTCATTTATACAAGGCAAGCACTCTACCACCGAGCCACCTTCCCAGCCCCTGTTGTTCTTACTTTATCTGTACCTCTACATTTCCGTACTTTTGTTGTTCACTGGAATATTTTTTTTAGTCCTAAATGTTTTGCCATTTCATCTATAAACACTTAAGTATATACTTTAACCAAAAGCCCCCCTTTAAAATAACACCATGGTTACCACACTGAGCAGAATAATTCAAGAATAATTCCTTTACAGTGACTACTATAGTCCATAACCGTGTAACTCAGAATTGGTTGTTTTTTTTTAGAATTGGTTTCTTTGAATCAGAACGCAAAGCCCACGTAGTTGATGTTCTATTTAATCCTCCCGCGACTGCTCTCCCTGCCTCCTGCAGGACGTACACAGCCTGTGTGTGTGTTCCGGTTGGAGTCAGGTCATGCACAGTTGGATGGGCAGCTCTAATCCGTTTCATCCTCATTGTTGTTATTAGTACTAGCTGTTCAGTCACCAGCTATGTGTCCAGCAAGGAATGGCGGGAAACATGCCACATTTTCCCTCTTTTACTTATCAGTTTTCAGAATGAGTTGAAATGACTAAAAGGTTTATTTGCTTGTTTGTTTTTAATATGTAGGTGCTTGTTTTTTTAATTTCATTTTTTTCCTTTTTTCTCTTTTGTCAGCCATGGGGCTTGAACTCAAGGCCTGGGCACTCACTGTTCCTGAGCTCTTTGAGCCACAGCTCTACTTTCTGTTTTTGGTGGTTAATTGGAGATAACAGTCTCACGGACTGGCTTCAAACTTCCATTCTCAGATCTCACCCTCCTGAGTAGTTACGGTTACAGGCTCAAACCACTGGCGCCTGGCCCTTTTAATGTTTTTTTTTGGGGGGGTGGGGGGGATTGCTGCTGTTGTTGTTTTGTTGGTCATGGGGCTTGGACTCTGGGCCTGGATGCTGTCCCTGTGCTCCTCAGCTCAAGGCGAGTGCTCTGCCAGTTGAGCCACAGAGCCACTTCCGGTTTTCTATTGGTTAATTGGAGTTAAGAGTCTCACAGACATTCCTGCTCGGGCTAGCTTTGAACCGAGATCCTCAGATCTCAGCCTCCTGTAGCTAGCGCCTGGCCTTTTTATATGTTTTGATCTGTTGAAATCATTACCCTTTTCTGCTTCCAAACAGTGCCATCTGTAGTGGATGCCCCTTACACTAGTTGCCTATGCATTTTGACATGGCCATAGTAAGTGTTGATGATTTCCTTGTTTTCAGGCATATCAGAATACCCCTTGTTCATTTATTTCTCCAGATGTGAAATCACATTGATTTTTCCAAGGAAATCTGGCTCTTTTTTGTTAGAAATCTAAACACTAATAGTACTCATTGTTATTGTACAGTCATTATTTGCAGACCTTCTTCATGAAGAGTGGTTTTTAGTTCTTGGTTTGGTTTGGGGTTTTTCTGAGACAGGGTCTTGCTATATAACCCAGGCTGACTTGAACTCATTAGGAAGTCTAGGCTGACCTTCCAACTCATGATCCTCCTGTCTTGGCCTCTAGAGTGCTGGGGTTACAGGCCTGTGTGACCACATGTGACATGAATTTTTTTTATTTTATAAAGGTATGTACAGAGGGGTTACAGTTACATAATTTAGGTATTTCTTTGTGACATGAAATTTTTTAAAAAGAGGAAATGAGATTAAATGTTCTTATCAATAATGTATTAATATATCTAGTTTAAGTTAAAGATGGTAAATTGATTTTATTTAATGTATTTGATTTTGGGGGGGGTGTGCGCGTATGTGCTGGCTCTCTCTCTCTCTCTCTCTCTCTCTCCCCCTTTCTCTCTCTCTTTCTCTCTCTCAGGTTTTTCATCCAAGGCTGATACTCTACCAATTGAGCCATACTTTCACTTCTAGCTTTTTGCTGGTTAGAGATAAGAGTCTCATAGACTCTTGGGCTATCTTTGAGGGAAAAAAATCATTTTTAGGTGGTCCCCGCGCGGCCCGGGGTCGGGTGTAGAGCTCCGCCGCTGTGGCCGGCACTCGCAGCACGGCTCGGCGGCCCGCGCCGCGGCCTCTCTGGAGATTCGGGACCTCCGAACCTGTTTAGTTTGCCGCATTCCGGGCCGACACAGCGAAGAGATCAGACCCTCTCTGGATGGCCTGGGCGGAGGAAGCTTTGCCGGTTTGCTGCAGCTGCAGCACGCTCCTCATTCACCTCTGTCTGTCGGCATAGTGGCCACCTCATTTCACAGTGGTGGCCGGGATCAGCTCCAAATTCTATCTCTAAAAGCACCTTGGATCCCAGTCTTACAATGGCTACAAGACAACCAGAAGTGCCTGCCCTTGGGCCTAGTGGGCCTTTAGGCAAGATGTCACTGCCCGTCGGGATGTGCCGCCGGGCGTTCAGCTATGACGATGCCCTGGAAGAGCCCGCGCCCATGACCCCTCCCCCATCGGACATGGGCAGCATCCCCTGGAAGCCAGTGATCCCTGAGCGCAAGTACCAGCTCCTCGCCAAGGAAGAGGGAGACGCCAGTGTGTCCCCCCCGGCCGAGGCCACTGAGGGTGCCGACAAGGTCCCGGTGGTGAAGGCTAAGGCCACCCATGTCATCATGAATTCTCTGATCACAAAACAGACCCAGGAGAACATCCAGCGTTTTGAGCAACAGGCAGGGCTGAGAGATGCCGGCTACACACCGCACAAGGGCCTCACCACGGAGGAGACCAAGTACCTCCGAGGGGCAGAGGCGCTCCATAAACTGAAGCTGCAGAGCGGGGACCTAACAAGAGAAGAAAAGCAGCCCGCCTCAGCCCAGTCCACCCCGACCAGCACCCCCCAGTCTTCCCCTAAGCACAAGCCCAGAGGTGGTTCACCTCTGCATCCTCCATAGCCCTGCCTGGCCCGAATCCTAGCACCATGGATCCCGGAAGTGGGGATAAGGACAGAAACATGGCGGATAAGTGGAGTCTCTTTGGACCAAGACCTCTGCAGAAGTCCGACTCCGGAGGTTTCACCCTCCAGGCCTACAAAGGGGCGCAGAAGCCCACCCCCATGGAGCTGATCCGTGCCCAGGCCACCCGATCAGCCACCTGCAAGCCCCCCAAGATGGACACCCCCGTGACAGAAGGGAAAAAGCCACCACCACCTCCACGGACCCACACTCTCAAACCCCGAGACTTCAACGTGCTCACGCCCACTGGCTTTTAGTGCACTCCCTTGTCCCTGGAATTCTGTCCTCTTGGTTGTGACATAGGAGTGGTATCTTCTGACCGCACCTGCTCAGCTGCGGCTAGAGCTAGACATGGGCAGTGATTTTCTTTCGAGCAAACCCGTAGTTGAGCTTCGGTCGTTCTGTCCCGATGGCAGCAGTGGTGTTTGGGGCTCTCGCCCTGTGCTGTTCTGTAGCCCGAGCCACAGGTTTTTGACCCTCGCTTACTAGGTGAATTAGCTGTAGCAAGTCCCAAACCCAACTCTTGAGTCTTTAAATCAACACGACCAATGGCATCCATGGAGTATCTGATTTGTTAGGGCCCCAGGGTCCTGTTTGAGGTCTGGGCAGTGAACGAGGACCCCCACTTTCTAGGCTGGAACTAGAGGTGCCTTCTCGGTTTTTGTTTTTTTAAATCAACCCTAGTGGAATCATGACTCACTGCAGCTAGGTTCTTCCTGTTCCTTTCTCACAAGCAGAAGCCTTTCCTGTACTTTAAAGGGAAACCAGTTGGATGCCATTTGGAGAAAATGGAGTACTGTGTTCGTCTTGCTAAGTGGATGCTCATGTTTTCTTTTTCGGGGGTGGGGGGCGAGGCTGGAAATTTGATCAGGCTCTCGTGCATGTTCAAACGCTACATCTAGGGGCTGGAAGTTTTGAGTAGATGTACCCATTAATCTGACCTCATTTTGATTTCTTTTTCCAGGCTAGCTAGGGGCTTGGGACTTTCTTAAAAAAAAGTTTTTTTTTTTTTCAGAGGGGGACAATACATTTTTCTAAGAGCATTTTCCATCAAAACGAGCCCCAAACTTTCTGGAAAACACATCCTTTATTTCTCCTTGCTGTGTTCCATCATGTTCTACATGGGCTCAGATTCTCGCTGTTTTTGTTTTGGGTGGTATTTTGTTTACAGAAGAGTTCACCTTCTCAGAGAGCAGCCCTGGAGTTTAAAATTGTCAGAAAAATTAATTTATTTGTGTCTTTGTTACATCACTCGTACTGACAATAAAAATCCTTACTTTCTCAACTGTGAAAAAAAAAATCATTTTTAAGCATAGTAATCATTGATAATTCCTTTTTTCTCTTTTGAGTTAAAAATGTGTTTTTTATCCTTGTAACTGGTAGAAATATGTATTTATTTCTTCTTTTAAAGCTCTGCTGACATTATTAAGTGATTACAAATTTAAAATATATATACTTAATTTATTTGGAAATAATTGTATAATAAAATAGAGAAACATACCTTTTGTCCAGGCTGAAAAGCAATTTTAAGCTGGAAATGTTGGTGTGTATCTCTAATCCCAGCATATAACATAGGAGGCTGAAAAAGGAGGATCTCGGATGTAGCAACTCCCAGGCTAGCCTTGGCTACATACCCCCATCCATCCATCCATCCATAAATCAATGCAATTTCAGCATCTCTTTAATTGTTTTTTATTTATTAACAAGAGCACTGTCTTTAAAATACCCTAGTAGAACTGTCCTAGGAAATGCTCGTCTTTGAAAATGATTTAGCTTCTAAATGTTCTATTTCACAAATATTTACTAAATTTTATATGCAATATATGCTGACTAAACATTGATTTATATCAAGCTGGATGCTGGTGGCTCATACCTATAAATGAGGATTGTGGTTCTAAGCTAGCCCAAGCAGGAGAATTCATGAGATTTCTCTCTAATCAGAAGCTGACTGGGCACCTGTAGCTCACGTCTGTCATCCTAGCTACTCCGGAGGCTGAGATCTGAGGATCACAGCTTGAAGCCAGCCTAGGCAGGAAAGCCTATACGACTCTTATTTCCAATTAACCACTAAAAAACTGGAAGTGGCGCTGTGGCTCAAGTGGTAGAGCGCTGGCCTTAAGCTGAAGAGCTGAGGGACAGCACCCAGGCCCAGAGTTCAAGCCCCACGACCGACCAAAAAAAAAAAAAAGTTCAGAGATAGCATCTCTACCCTGAGTTTAAGCCCCAAGACCAGCCCTCCCACCCCCAAAAATCGTTTATATCAAACAAGAAGATTGCTTCTAGACTCTTCCTTATCCATAATATTGTCCAGTGAACCACATGTAACGACATATAGACATTTTCTTTGATGTCTTAAACTAGAACTAGCCACAGTTAAGCCCGGGTTCTAATTTTACAAAGTTACTTCTAACAAAATTAAAATGGAATTATATTATTCATCGGTTTAAAGAAAAATTCTCCAGTAACTATAGGAATGCTTGTGGTGTGAAGACAGCATCTTAAATCTCTCTATGTAAGTCATACACAAAATGTTATTTTGATGAAAAAAATAGTGGCGTGAATAATACCTGCTCACAGCCCAAGACATTTGATGTATCTTAGCCTCTATGTTTGCTGGATTTTGCAATTTCATAAGCAAGATTTGTATTTTTTTAAGTTCTGTATTTCTGTGCTTTCTACTTGATGTCACATCTGTATTCTTAGGTTGTAGGGTTCCATTAAAAAGAATAAATAATCTCAGCCCCTCCTTCCTCCACCCCCCACCCCCAACACACTCATTTTGTATAATATGGTAATGATATCACCGTAGCAGTAATTACGGGTCATCTTCATTTCTTTCATCTCTGCCTGTTCTGATGGCTTCATTCCTTTGACGAAAAGATTTGGCTCTCGGTGCTATGATTATTTTGTTAAGCATTATTCGAATAGACAGGAGTGAGAGAAATTAATCAATCCAAATGCAATTAGCATCATGTTTAACCCAGTGATGGACGTCTCAAGGTGAAACAGCCAGGGGAGTTTCAGACATTATTATTCAATCCAGTGGTTCTTATCTAAATTATAATCAAGATAGGTTTTTATTGGCTTCTCAGTGTGAAGATGTAACTGTTTCCCTGCCCTGGGGGGCCAAGAAGACTGGACCTTCATTTTTCCTTAGACTTAAGCTGCTGGAAGTGGGTGAACCAAGAAGGAATCCAAGGCATCTGGAATGATTTGTACTGTGCTCTCAGTCTAGAATTCAGCATATGAATAAGCTATACTGTTTCTAACTTGGAGCAAAATGTTTGGTGCCCCAATCGAATCACTCTGACTAGTTCTATCTTAACCTAACACGATAGATTATTACTATGATTCTCACTTTATGGATGAGGATATTAAAGGAGTGTGAGGTTACTAGCCTTTGGTCATAGGAAGTATTTCACCAGGATGTATTACTATGTAAAAAACCTTGAAGCATGTATGCCCTCTACAAATTTATGAGTACTTAATAATAAGTTCTAGCCCCCAAAGTATTTATCCATTGCTTTGATCTCACTGCCTTTTCACTCAGAGGGAACCCAGTGAAACTCTAAAATAGGTCTGTGAGGCCCTCCACAAAGGAAACTCAATACAAATAAGTTGTTGTTTGTTAGCTCTGATTTCCAGAACACAAATCTTTGAAGGGACTTTGCTATTTGGTTTGCTAGGAGAAAGGATGATAAGAAAGACTGCATATTTGAAATCCAATTCTGTTTGCTCTTAAAAGAAGTCAGAGCAAGGAGAGTTGATGGAGAAACACAGGTTTTCTTTCATCTGAATACATTTTTCAAATGTCTGACAATTTAGATTCTTCTACTTCTGCCTTCAATCTTCAGGCATCATAGCTGACACTTCCCATATTTTATGTTCCTGCTTTATGTTTTATATTCTGAAAATAAATCTGTTGGCTGGAAATTTCTGTTTCTTCAGCCCCCATGTGAAAAGTCACTAAAAGTATTCCCCATATTGGAACTGTCCAAATTTGTCTACTTACACATTAAGTCCTGCCTTTTCTTTCTCATATTACTTCTGGATAAAACATTCTCTTGAAATGAACCTTACTGTGAGTTGAAGAGAAAAGGGGCTGATACAAAATGACCTTTCTCGAAAGTCCCTGGAGGAGACTCCATGAAACATGGAAGGAAAGCGAGCCAAAATACCCAATGGAAAAAGAATCTAGAAAGTATGCTCCCAGTAAGAACTTTGAGAATCCTAATGGTGAAAACTTTTGATAGTTTGTGATCATTTGGTCATGAATATAACATCAAGGCCACTCTTATCAGATACAGTCTTTTTGCTTATATCCAGAGAACTTTAGGCAAAGACCTCAAGTCTGTTCTGCCCTTCAAAGTCACATATTTTAGGGGAGAAAAGTGAGATTTCCAACAAAGACTGATTTGTTGATACTTGCCCACAGGATTTGATTGAGAATGGACAACAGACCTGCTAAAAGACACCAAGTGTCCCAATGTACTGGGACTTCAAAACCCCTCCTCATCCATTGACTTGTTCAACTCCTGCTCTTAACGGGCACCAGCACCAGTTGTGGTATGGGAGTGGTTATTCCTCTCCTTGGATTATTGATCGCCTTTTGTGGCCCTTTCTGTGTAGAGATCTGACACTTGGTAAAGAATCTCAGTCTAGCTGGCTGCCTTGGGACAGCTCTGCTGCATGACCACTCTGTTCCTACAGTTAGAACATAGCATTAAAGTCACATTGGTTTTCTTTCTGTTCTGCTTCAGTGAGCCAAAATACACGTTAATCACTTTAGCTCCATTGCAATGAGGGACTGCTTTGAGAATAGTCTTGTGTATGTGTGTGTATATACTGGGACTTGAACTCAGGGCCTCGGCTCTGTCCTTGAGCTTTTTTGCTCCAGGCTGCTGATCTGCCATTTGAGCCACAGTTCAACTTCTAGCTTTTTGGTGGTTAATTGGAAATAAGGCTTTCATGGGCTTCTCTGCCTGGGCTACCTTCAGACCAAGGTCCTTAGGTACTGAGGACACTGGCACACTACAGGCCATTGGAGCTCAGCGAATAGTCTTCTTTTTATCAGAAAGTATTTTAATCTTCCTAAAGTAAAAAACCATAATTATAGTAAATGGTTTCCCTTCTACAGAACACCTTCTGTAAAGCTAATAAACTTTTTTTTTCAGTCATGGGGCTTGAACTCTGGGCCTGGGTACCGTCCCTCGGCTCTTCAGCTCAAGGCGAGTGCTCTACCACTTGAGCCACAGCGCCACTTCCAGTTTTCTGGTG